GGCCCCGCCCCGCCAGGATGACCCGGGTGGCGGGGCTGCGCCCCCTCCCGCGCTCCCTCCCGGCAGCGGGATACGAGTCCCGCCCGGCGGCGCCTCCCCTCACCTTCAGCTGCTCCCAGTCTCCGCTGCGGCCGAGTCTGGCGCGGGCGGGAAGATTCCCTGCTTCGCTGGGCTCCAACCGCACCAACTGCCGCCCACCCCGCTTGCGCCAGCCCGCGCGCTCCCATTGGCTGCCCGCAGAGACGGCCTCGCATGGAATCACGAGAACCCGCCTCCAAGTGGCGCAGCGGAGAATCCCATTGGTTCATTTCACTGTCGCTCAAAATCACTTCCTAAGCCACATAGGTTTGAGGAAGCCAAGGGGAGAGCCCGCTGGGGCAAGGAGCGCAGGCGCTGACGCGCAGGGACGGGTTCTTAGCCCTCTGCTGCGTGTCCCTTCTCTAGCTTCAAAGCATTTGCCTTGGTGCAGCCCTGCTAATGGCATATTGGGGAGCATTAGGAGGATCAGTGCCAGCAGATCCAGAGATGTCATTATTCCCCTTTATTCCGCTCTGGTGAGGCCACATCTGGAGTATTGTGTCCAGTTCTGGGCTGTCCCGTCCCCCCACTATTGAAAGGATGTGGACGCATTGGAGAGAGTCCAGCGGAGGGTGACCAAAATGATCAGGGGGCTGGCATGCATGACCTATGAGGAGAGACGCAGGGATTTGGGTTTGTTTAGTCTGCAGAAGCGAAGAGTGAGGGGGGATTTGATAGCAGCCTTCAATTTTCTGAAGGGAGGTTCCAACAAGGATGGAGAGAGGCTGTTCTCAGTAGTGACAGGTGGCAGAACAAGGAGCAATGGTCTCAAGTTACCGTGGGAGAGGTCTAGGTTGGATATTAGGAAAAACTATTTCACTAGGAGAGTGGTGAAGCACTGGGATGGGTTCCCGAGGGAGGTGGTGGAATCTCCATCCCTAGAGATGTTTAAGTCTCGGCTTGACAACGCCCTGGCTGGGTTGATTTAGTTGGGATTGGTCCTGCCTTGGGCAAGGGGCTGGACTTGATGGCCTCCTGAGGTCTTGTCCAGCTCTATGATTCTACGTTCACGCTAGTATGGCCAAGCTCTGAGAAAGCAAGAACTGAACACCCCTGTGGTTTTTTGTATTAGCTGAGTGTGTTGCAGCACCAATGCAGGGTGGCCCAACATTGATAACTGGACTCCAGGAAGGCCCCATCTTACAAATGGGCTGTGTTCCAAAAGTGCGTTTGGAAGTCGGATGTTTTGGAACTTGGAACAAATTTCCCCATAGAAACAATGTTTTAAAAGGCAGGTTCCCAGGCTAGCCCACAAAAGCCTATTTTAACCCATAACTGCAGCTGACATCTATACATACATTTTTAGAGTGTCTGTGAGTCCATCCGTGTGTCCGTTTGTTCAAGAACTTCTCCTAAACTAGGACACCAAACCAAGGTCAGAGGTTGGTTGTGCTCAGAAAATGGGAAGTGTTGGGTGTGATGGTCCCCCCCCCTTTCATTGCTTTATGAAATAGACTAAAGGACACCGATGCATGCATCTCAAAGGTGCTTTAACAAATTATTTTATTTAACCAATCAATCTTGGTTACATAGAATAATGTACATGGGATTGCTCAGTGGTTTGAGCATTGACTTGCTAAACCCAAGGTTTTGAGTTCAGCACTAGAGGGGACAATCTGGGGCAAATCTGTCAGGAATGGAACTTGGTCCTGCTGTGAGGGCAGGGGATTGGACTCAATGATATCTCAAGGTCCCTTCCGGATCTATGAGATAGATATATCATGATCCATTGGTTCTGTTTATCTTACTTTGATGTATGTATAATTTTTGTGCATAAAATTAGATATATGGAGTGGGGAATACTTTGTGGGTTTTTAATGTATGAATGAGAGGCATCCAGGGTGTTACACTCCATGTCTTGATGAGCAACTATTAAACAATCTCTTTCGTCCTTAAGTCTGAGCAGTGGTAGGTAGGGAGTGGCCTCAATTCCTTAAAAAAGAATAGGAAAACAGGGGCTGCACCTGAGGGAAGGAGCCAAAGACTCCTGCGTGGGGAGACAGCCCTGGTTTGGAGGGACAGCTGGAAAACAGGTTTTAGGGTGAGTTTGAAAAAGTTTGTACTGAGGTTTCAGTGTAGAATTAGCTAAGTGTTTTTGTTTCTTTTGATTTGTAATCTATTTTGCTCTGTCTGTTCTCACTTATTACCGCGTAAATCCTACTGCTTGTACTTAATAAAATCACTTCTATATTCTGTTAAACCCAGTGTAAATAATTGTTACCTGGGGGAACAATCAGTGTGCACATTCCCCCTTTCATTGCTAAAGGTGACCTACCTAATCCTTTGGGGTTTGATCCCATTTGGGGAGTGGTATCCCAGGAAGCTGTGCCCTGAACTCTACTCTCCTGGGATCTGAAGAGACACAGTGTCTGTACTGCTTCTCAGTGGGGGAAGGGATCTCAGTTCTGGGCCTTGGCTGGGGGATACCAGAGAGCTGGCCCAGCACGACAAAGTGGTAAGGAGCCCCAGAGAGTAGGAAGGCGAGTGGCAGTGGCCGTATCAGCACTGCAGGAGGCACCCCTGAGGAGTTGCCTGTGACCTCATCCAGTCATACGGGGAAAATGACTGTTTTCCATAATATGGAAAGGGAGGGAGCAAAGAGAGCAGCAGGTTATGATACTGAGAGTGGCCATTGGGGACAACTGCAGCACCAAGAGAGTGACCAGCAGGGTTAGGGCACCGCCATTTTGCTTGCCTCCCTGCCCCAAACCTGGAGTCTGCTCCCGCTCTCTGTGGAAAGCCTGCAGGTCATGGGGGAGTGGACGTTGGCGGGAGACACATTTCCCAAAGCCTGTCCCATTGTGGAGAGCCTGCAGACCAAGGAAGGTTCAGCCACTGGAGCCTCAGCCCTCCCCAGACAGCAGTCTGTAAGCTTCAGGAAGGGCTGCTGGAGGCATTCCTCAGAGCCTCACCCCCACTCTCCCGCAGCAGCCTGCCAGCCACAGGGGAAGGGTCTGCTGGAGGAGGAGGCAGCCCTTGGAGCCTGG